TCAAAAAAATCAGACTGCGGCCGTGTTCCTGCTTATAATGTTCTAAAAGAAACCAGCAAGACCAACATCTTTTGCAAAAAAATCATCATCATGAAATCATGTTTCTGAGTACAAAGTGACTAGTGCTTTCAAGCTTTTTATTGATGATGATATCTTGCTGCATATAAAGAAATGTACAGAATCCGAAGCTCATCGGCAGCTTGGAAATAAAGACTGGGGTTATCTCTGGCTGAGTTAGATGCTTTTGTTGCTATATTGTATGTTTGAGGAGTAATAGGAGCAAAGGGCTTATATTCCTTGTGGTCCGAAACATGAGAAATACCATTTTGCAAAGAAACTATATCAAGAGATAGATTCAAAGAAATAAAACAATTTTTAAGGTTCAATGAAAAGGCAAAATGTACTTGATTACAGACTGATAAATTTGCTCTTGCATCAGACGTGTAGAACAAATTTATTGAAAACTGCAAAACGTGCTAACCGGCAGGACAAAATATTACAGTTGATGAACAATTATTCCCATCTAAAGCTAGTTGTAGATTTACACAATATATGCCTAATAAACCTGACAAATTTGGAATACAATTTCAGTTATCTGTCAACATTGATACTAAATACCTCTTGAATGGATTTCCTTATCTAGGAAAAGATAAAACAGCAAATCCTCAATTACGTTTGTCTGAAAAAGTTGTCATAAAATTACAGAGCCACATCTAAACAAAGGGAGGAATATTTTCATGGATAACTATTTTACTAGCATGAAATTAGCAAAAATGCTAAAATAAAAAAAAAATACAACTATGGTCGGCACAATGAAAAAGAACAGAAGAGAAATTTCTATATCTTTAAAAAATATGTGTAGTAATCTTTATTCATCGACAATAGTGGAACATGATAATTTCATACTTACCATCTATCAAGACAAAAAAAGTAAAAGCGTTTTTCTACTGAGCTCATTACATTCTACTGTAAAAACTGAAAACAGTCTCAAGAAGTTGCCTGATTCAATAACATTTTGCAATGCAACAAAGTATAGTGTGTATATTCGTGATCAGATGTGCCAAAAATATTCAGTTAAATCGGCTTATAGATGACGGCCTGTAATATCTTTTTCAATATTTTGGATCACGCAGCTTTGAATGCCTGGATAATTTATAAAAGTGTAAGAGGAAACACCATTAACAGGAGAGATTTTCTACTGACATTAGGAGAGGAGTTAAGAGTGGCACATATGGCTTCAAAACTCCCAAAGATCCTTCCTGAGTATTCAGAAAAAACACATGAAAAGAAAATGGATATAAAGAGAAAAAAGTGTCAAGTACAGAGATGCAATGGAAATAAATCTCAAGAATATTGTGCATCTTGTTCCAAAGTTGTGTGCAAAAAATGTACTGGAGAAACAGTTAAAAATTATTTTTGTATCAACTGCATTCATTCTTAATATGTATGTGTAATCTCTAATATTTTAAACATTAAATAGAATAGAAATGAATTGCTTTCTTTACATATAATGATATCCATTCAGCTACACATATAATGATATAACTAAAACATCAGAGAACATTTCTCATTTCTGGATTCAGAGAGCGAATAATCCTCCAAGTAGGTACATAAAAAAATATTATTATATAAATTGTGTTGTATTTTAGTTAACATTAGTTTTAATTTGTGAAACCATTTATTTTAAATCAATTCTTATATCAAATTAATGAGTTATTTGAGTAATTGTAGTATGATCCAATTGATCGGCATGTACTCGATACATTTACAGTATTTTAAAAAGTCAATAAATTATCATGTGGTATTAAATATAAATCATGAAATACATATAAAGCACATATTTGTGCCAATGTATGGCATTTAAAATTCTTTTACCGTTGTTATTTCAGTACTTTCATCCAAGGGTCAAAATGACCCCTTACCGCCGTTCCAGTAGGTAAGATTTTCCCGCCGTTCTAGTGTTAAACTGCATCCTTCAGGAATTAAATTAACCACGCAATTTTCCACTTTCAGTTTTCAGATGATAAATTTACTAAAAAGGGGGGAAGGCATGAGGAAATACTGTATTTGACATTTCTATCCTTATTGTGAAAGAAAATCAACATGAAACAAAATAGACATTTCATCTTCATATCTCATTATATATCACTGCTCTTATCAGCTTATCAATTTCAATATTCTGAATGATTATTTTCAGATATTATTATTCCTTACTAAATTCATAGTTAAGTATATTGCTAAGCATGACATAAATTTATGCTGCATACAAGCTAAATCCTCATTTTTTGATTTTTTTAATTAATGATATTAACTCAGTAAATATTAATATCCTGTTAGTAGTTAACATGGCATAATGGTTATACAAAGTTATTGGTATAATCATTATGCTTTGCTGACTGCTAGTATATCTTACTAATGATATTTGACAGATTATTATATGTTGAGTATTATACATTATTTTGATTGGTCACTAATCATTTAAAAAAAAATTGATTATGAGGTTCCTTGTAAACTTATATCTCAAGATCTAATGTCATATCAGAGTGAAGAATGTTTATAGTTCATTACATTTCAGTTCTTAACAGTTTTAGGTTGCTTTAAAGTATGAAAAATTAGAGATTCTGCTCTGATTATTCAGTCTGTGCATGTAGGAAGTATGATCATGAAGTAGTTACTAGTGTTGTTGGGTAAACTTTGATAATGCTCTTCCTAAACAAAAGATTCTGGAGATTCTTGCAATACCCTTCTTATGCTTTCCGAATGTATTTCTAATTATAAAATGTTAAACTTTGTCCTGACCAATCTTTTTCACTGAGCTGATCTTTTTCATATGAATTTGAATGATTATTTCATTTCATTGAATTCATTTGAATGATTATTCATGATTCATTTGAATAGTTATTTTGTGTCATTTGATGTAAGTTATGTTGAATAATTAACCTCAGAAGTGCAGTTTGTATGATATTGAATTTCTTCACTACAGAAATTATTTCATAATTCTGAAACACCAGAAAGGAAATAAACTTCTGAATTCGAACTTCGTTTCTTTGGATAATGTTAAGCTTATCCACAAGCAACTCAATTTAGTAGTATTAACTCTACTACTATTATGAGATATTTGTGAATCTATCATTTAATTCAGCAGCTGTGAGGAATTATCTTTATTTCTAATTATATATGCTTGAACTGTGCTGAAAGGGTAGAAGAAACCAGTTTTTCCTTTTATGTTCTGCATAGACATATGCCTAGAAAGAAACTAGATTATTTTCATTATTTGTGTATTGTCATGTAGAAAAGAGATAGAGATTTTCTTAATGTAAATCTAAATTTTCTTAATGTAGTTTTCTTGAAAATCTTTATTGTGTACAGCATATCATTTGTTAGAACATTTTCTGCATTAGAACTTAAAAGTTTCCATACATTTAACGTGTGCCCACAAATTCGAAAGACTTATGCATTAAACTACCTTAAGTATTCAGGGCAGAATAATTAAAGAAATAATCATTACAATTTCAGAATTACCGTATTTGATGGCATATAAGACGTACCCTTATTTAGACGGCCACACACAAGGGAAAAAAGTTTCAATAGCGTGGTTTCTTTTAGTTCTCATGTTTCGTAAAAGCCAAATAAACAATTATTGAATGCAATTACCTTCACGTATAAGACGCAGGTAACTTTTTTAAAACCAAATTTAGGGAAAAAAGTGCATCTTATATGCCGTCAAATACGGTATATGTCTTGAATCATCTCTCTCTGCCACTGAATATAACTAGTTTAACCAATACTGATTTTATTACCAGTTTAATCAACATTGCTTTCTTAAATTTTCCTTAATAAGATAAATTAATAAATTTCTGTATCCATATTTATATTGTAGAGGTAATGAAACTTATATTTTGATTATTCCAAAGTACTTCAAAGAAATTGTAAATTTATATTTAATGTGGGCTTCAAGCATGCACTTGCCATAAAAATCCATTCTAAGCAAATTTTAGGCTTATGTTTTAGCTAAGATATTTTGCATTATTAAATTCTAATTTATTCATTTACTTATTGAAATATTTTCTCTTTATTTTTTATAATATATAGAATATTTTTACATTACTAAGCATCATAGATCCACAGGTAATTTTTAGAATTTGTTAAAATTTGCAAGCAAAAAATTCATCACTTTTAGAAGTAATATGGGATAACCTCTACCATTGTGATATATTGGCTGATAATAACTTGTTCTTTTAATCTTGTAAGGATTGTGGAAGTAAAATTCCATATACACAAACGGCTTTCCAATTTGTTTTGTCATAACTGAAAATTTCTGCTAGCTCGTAATGTATCTGATTCCGAATTGGATCAAGAAAAGGAATCAAGGTATAAAATTAAGAGAGTCATTTTGGAATTATGATCAAGAAAATAGCACTTATTCATAATATTTTGTGGAACTTTGAATTTCTTGAAAAATCTACTGTTGGGAGGGTTAAACTCAGGTTTATCATATAATCATTGTATTTTTCTACAAATTTATTGTAAATGTCATTTATGTGAATTTATGACAAGTAACTTAAGCATCATATTGCTCTGGTTTATATACAATGAAAATATGCAGAGTTCATAGTTTTTCTTTTTAGTTATTATTATAATTTTAAGTCTGATTTTAAAAAACATTGCATACATAATACTATATTTGAACGAAGTGTAACTTTGCCATTAATCAAATACTTCATCTAAAAAGGTAAGAAGATGAATGAAAAAATGTCTTAAAAAGTTATGTATTTGCATTCAACAGTAATATCAAAAATTTAATATGTTTGATATGACTAATTTACCATTAATCAAAGGTTGTTTCCCCCCTTGAAAATATTTTTAAAAAATCAAAAAGGCAATATACTTATATCCTATTACAATACTAAAAAATTATTCAGTTTATTGTACTAATGTTTATTAACTTTTTACTTTGAAATCCATAAGAACCTCCCCCTTTTTATTTCTACCCATGTTAGATGGAAGACCTGCTCCCCTGCAACAAGCTAAAAGGAAAAGAATCAAATTGCATAAAGAATACTGTGTAAGTATTATTTTTATTCTCAATATAAATATTGCTTTCTTAAATTTTCCTTAATAAGATAAATTAATAAATTTCTGTATCCATATTTATATTGTAGAGGTAATGAAATTTATATTTTGATTATTCCAAAGTACTTCAAAGAAATTGTAAATTTATATTTAATGTGGGCTTCAAGCATGCACTTGGCCCACCAGCGGCCAAGCGGTTAAGTCGCTGAACACTGGTAGTTCGGTCCGAGGTTCGAATCCCGCGAACGGGCTGGCTGCATGGGCGTTTTCGTGGTTTTCCCCATGTGTAACGTGTGTACGAGCCAATTTCCCTTAGAAAGTCCTCCACGAAGGCACTCCTCCTCTTAGGCAGATAGCCCTTGAGGCTTTGCCATAATCACACACACACACAAGCATGCACTTGCCATAAAAATCCAATTACCAATTGATGGCAAATAGTTCTTGGTTGACATGGGAACATCCAGGGTGTCTTGAACATGCTGCAGAATGGAAGTGGCTTGCGGGTGTTCCATTGCTTGTTGGTGGATGCGGCAATCCATGCATGTTGCCGTCACTCTGGCTGAAAAGTGTCACTCACCTGAACACTTTTTTAATAATTTAATTCATTAGAGCATGTATCCTTCATAAAAAAATAAGTGCTATTATGAAAATCATTATTTTACTACTTCAAAGTAAAAAACAAAACTCTATAAATTCTTATCTGACTCGCCTGTTTAATTAAATTTTGAAATACAGCTCTAACTTGCTGATATATTGTTGGATTTCATGCTTTTTGGAAAATGGCATTGAAATTGTAGTATTAATATTAAGTTTTAATTTCAGAAGAATTATAATGTTTGTGTCTAGTCCCAGTTTGGTAGTACATAGTAGCATACTAGATTTCCCATTAGAGAGTTAGAAAAAACTGTCAAAAATTCAAGAATTTGTTTAAAATAATACTTTCCAACATAAAGCAAAATACTTCAAATTATATTCTTAGAGCATGTTTATAATTTTCTGTTGCATTTTTAAACTTGTGTAAATTTACATATATTAGTGAATAAATATCAAAGGTGCCCAAACTTCATGTTAATAAAAAGCTGTATATTGGAATTCAGAAAAGTTCGAGAGCTGCAACTAGATTTTACAACAGCCACAAGTTCATATTTACATAATTCTAAAAGTAATGAAGCAAGTTTCAAATGGAAAGAAAGATCTTATAACTTAGTAAAAAGAAATGCCATAAATTAATTACTTTCTTTTGGACATTCGAATAATTTTAACTTATCATACACTACCCAACATTGAAAATGCAACACCAAGAAGAAGTGGCCTAAAAATTATGCAAATTTCAGTTTAGATGCATGTCACCAAGTTATGTGAAATGTGCAGCTCTCCAGCGCATGTTAAAGAAGATGTAAGGGAAGAAATGTTAGAATGTTCAATTTTCATGCTGTTATTTCAGCTAGGGAAATTATCATAGAAAATTTGTTTTTCTCTCAGAGGAGGTATGTAATAGCAGAGAATGCCAGAACAACAGAAGCAGTTCCAGCAGACAGACGATTTTACGATGGGCATAGCGATCGTACTGAGGAGGACAGGTTGATCCATACAGAAAATCTCAGCTGACACACACCTGAACGCATCCAAGATGCACCGGCTGTGGTAACGATGGTTGGGACATGGAAATGTGGCAAGTTTGAGGGGTGCTGGTGCAGCCAGAGTGACGGCAACATGCATGGATCGCCGCATCCACCAACAAGCAATGGAACACCCGCAAGCCACTTCCATTCTGCAGCATGTTCAAGACACCCTGGATGTTCCCATGTCAACCAAGAACTATTTGCCATCAATTGGTAATTAGTGGCCTGCACTCATGGTGTCCCTCAAGCAGACTGCCATTGACTTCACATCATAGACGCCAACATCTGCAATGGTGCCAGGTTCGAGCAATGTGGACGATGGAGTGGCACAGGGTCATGTTCTCAGATGAGTCACACTTGTATTTCTCTAATGATAGTTGCTGTGTATGAGTGTGGTGTCGATGTGAAGGTAGATCCAATCCAGCAGCAAGTGTAGAGTTCCCCACCACACGACAGTGCAGCATCATAGTTTGGGATGCAATTGTGTTTGATTCTAGGTCACCTCTAGTTTATATTCAGAGCACTATAACAGCCCGATGATACGTGGATGATGTTTTGTGGTCGGTGACAATCCCCTACCTTTAGGGAATGCCCAGTATCATTTATCAGCAGGATAACACCTGACCACACACTGCTCGCATCAGCTGACATGTTATTCAAAGTGTACAGTTGATTCTCTGGCCACCATTCTCTCACCAATCGAATACATTCGGTATGTGATCGGATGCTATTTACAGACTTTGCCATTGTTGCATTCAGAAGTCGAACTATGGCCAAAAAAATGAACTTGGCAGGGAACGGAGAGCCGTACCTCAAGACACCATCCATAGTCTCATTGACTCTACCTAGATGTGTTGCTTCATCTATCACCGACCCAGGTTGTACTACATCATTGTGTTCGGTTTTACCTTAGGTCAGAAGTCTGGTCAGTGGTGCATAAGCATAACCAACTGAACCAATGCTGTTCTTGCTCTGTATTGTGCATATCATTTCAAAATAAAGGGCAGTTGTTTGTTGCTGTCTCTCTCTCTCTGTTTGTCGAGTTTCATCACTTTCTGGGCACTCCTTGTTGTTGCATTTTCAATATAAGGTAGTGTATTTCTTATATATATTATTTGCATAAGAGCCACACAACTTGCGAGAGCTGCACGTGGCCCTCTCCGCAAGCCAGTATTCTCACTAAATGTATATATATGGTAAGAGTAAGCTAAAATCTTAGGTTTCCAAAAAATTAGCCATAGACTGTATAAAGTTTATCATCTTTTCGTGTACTATGTAGAATTAATTAAAATTATGAATTACTTTTCATTTTCTCCCATAATTAAATGAAGTGTAAAAATAAGCATTATTAATTATTTTTCCCTTATCCATCTTTTATCATGGCAAGCATTTCATGTAAAACACTATATTCATACATATTATCATATTAATCATTAATTTCTGTGAAATTTGCCATTCTCATAATTAAAATATTATCTCTAATATACATGTATTGATGCTACTTTTATATTTGATTATTTTGTGTTCATAATTTCTTCACATTTATTATAATTTTGTAATCTTTACACAAAATCAATTTTTGCTTTAGATTTGCAATTTTAAACTCATGCTGTGCTGCATGGCATATAGAAATTAAAAATTTGTTCATGAAATAAGGAAACATTTGTGACCTCAAGAAAATCAAAATTGCCATCCCAATGGAAAATCTTCTGTTATATCATCTTCATTTTTTACTATTTCTCCACAAATCCTATCAATTGGAAAATTTGTTTTATGTTTGCGATATCTGAAAATCTTTAAATTTGCATCTATCATCATAAAGCTTAGCTAGCATCCAATCTATACTGTCAGCAGCTGTAAGGAATTATCTTTATTTCTAATATATATATGCTTAAAATGTTCTGAAAGAGTAGAAGGAACCAATTTTTCCTTTTATGTTCTGCATAGACATATGCCTAGAAAGAAACTAGATTATTTTCATTATTTGTGTATTGTCATGTAGAAAAGAGATAGTGATTTTCTTAATGTAAATCAAAATTTTCTTAATGTAATGTTCTTGAAAATCTTTATCATGTACTGTAGTACAGCATAGCATTTGTGAGAACATTTTGTGCATTAAAACTTGAAAGTTTCTGTATGTTTAACGTGTGCCCGCAAATTGGAAAGACTTATTAAACTTGCATAAGTATGCAGGGCAGAATAATTAAAGAAATAATCATTAGAATTTCAGAATTATATGTCTTGAGCCATCTCTCTCTGCCACTGAATATACCTAGTTTAACCAATACTGATTTTAATACCAGTTTAATCAACATTGCTTTCTTAAATTTTCCTTAATAAGATAAGTTAATAAATTTCTGTATCCATATTTATATTGTAGAAGTAATGAAATTTATATTTTGACTATTCCAAGGTACTTCAAAGAAATAGTAAATTTATATTTAAGGTAACCGACCTTGTTCGAAGGGCGTTTTTCAAAATGTTTGTTATATTTTTGAATTCAAGTGATTTTTTTAATGAATTGTACTCAAACTTAAATGTAATCACTACAAAAACGATAAAAAAATCATTATTTTGTGAAATGTACGCAAAAAAAACTGAAAATTTTATATCAAAATTAATAAAAATATCAACCATCACTGACAGGAAAATATTGTTGATAAAAATCTATTTTCGGCTTTATTTTATACATACTACTTAGAAACATGTATTAAACCAGAATAATTTGAAAATATTGATTCACTAGCAAAATATGGTCAAATATGTCAGTAAACACTAATTTTTTTTAAAAAATACACACGCTATTGAAGAAAAAATTATGTAACTTAAATTCTATGAGATTAATTTTTTAACTGCTAGTCTACATTATGCATAATAATGTATAAAATGTGTGTGCAAAATTTCAAGTGATTCTATAATGAACGTTTAGAGTTATCATGGTTGCCGTGAACAGAAATCATGAAAAAAACAACTAATCAAAAATCATGTTTTAAGTTTTCAGATTGTTATATGATATTATATACACAAATATTCACTAAAAATGCTCCTGCGTTATATGGGACAAAGTGAGAGTATAACCTTTAAAAGAATAGAAACCGCAACATTATGATTGCCTTTTAATTCATCAAAATCACTTTTTTCATTTGCAATAAATGTTCTAGATAATTTCATAGACAGATGTTTCAGTTTCATTGTGATTACCAGCATCAGCAGTCACATATTTAGTGTATTAGTCGCTGTAAAATTTTCACTTTTTTGAATGACTACGTATAAATTTTGGCATTCTCAAACTTTCGATTATTAAACAGAATAAAAAAAGTGCAGAAAAATGAATATTTAGCTGATAAATTAGTGCAGGAAATTTGTACAC